GATCCCAGAGAAGAAAATGTTCTGTGGTACATGACAGCAATCTTTAAGTAACTGATAGTCTGTCACGTGGAAGAGGTCTGAGGTTTGTTCTGTCTGGACCCATGGGACAGAACCAGAAAAGATGGATATTAGCTGCAGAGGCAAACAGACACATCAAGAAAGATTTTACACTGGACTTGTCTTTACTAAAGGTCTTCAGATAAAGTCTACATGAAGATTCGCCAAATACATTATAGTGGGGAATCTTTTTTAAGTTTGGGTTAGACTAGATACCACTGAGGTCCTTTCCTATTCTGAAATTCTATGATAAATCAAAAACCTCCTAACAGTAGCAGTCTGATCCATCATTTGAATATCAGGGATGGGGAACTTCTAGCCTTAAGACCACATATGGCACTCTAGGTCCTAGAGTGCAGCCTTTTGACTGAGTCCAAGTTTTACTGAACAAATCCTTTTATTAAGGGGGTTTGTTCTGTGAAGTTTGGATTCAGTCAAAGGGCCACACTTGAGGATCTAGAGGGCCACTTGTGGCCTAGAGGCTGCAGGCTCCCCACCTCTGGAATAGATTAGCATAATCTATGCTCATGAAGTCCCTCACCCTGGACTGCTCCTCAAGCACCCAACAGTTCTTGGTATAGAGAGGTGCTTAATAAATGTTGAAAGATTAGTATAGAAATCTATCTTACCCTACAGGAAAGTAGGAGGGGAAGGGGATAAAAGAAACGGAAGGTGATAGAAGGGAGGGCAGATTGGGGGAGGTTCTAGTCAGAAGCAAAACACTTTTGAGGAGGGATAGGGTGAAAGAAGAGAATAGAATAAAGAGGGAGGAATAGGATGGAGGGAAATAGCAATAGTAACTGTGAAAAAAATTTTGAAGCAAATTTCTCTGATAAAAACCTCATTTCTGAAATATATAGAGAACTGAGCCAAAACTTTCACAACATGACTAATGTGGAAATATGCTTAATATGATTGCACATGTATAGTCTATATCAGATTGCACATCATCTTGGGAAGGGGTGAGGGGAGGGAGTGGGAGGAAATTTAGAACTCAAAATCTTATAAAAGTGAATGTTGAAAACTAAAAACTAATTAATTAATTAAAATTTAAAAAAAAGAAATATTGAAAGAATGAAGGGAACAATTTCCAACAGTGCTCTGCACAGTAGGTACTTAATAAATGTTGAAAGAATGAAGGAATGAATAAAGATCTCGTGTACAGATAATATCATTCACAGTGAAGGACTATCCTCCTGGACACTAGTCAGTTCTATATAAAATTATAGAGAAAACTCCAGATTTTCCATGAATGAATCATCCTTTAAAAAAAAAACACCCCCAAAACTCTGGGACTAAAAGTTTTGAAACTGTGCCAAGACCTCGGCATATTGTACAAATTGAAAACAAGAGATAAAAGATTCAAAAATAGCTTTTATTACTATATAAAAACAGGTCAGGAAAAATAGATGCATTTTTCTACAAGTAATAAAATATTCAGATCATTTAGAAAGTCTCCCATGAACATATTGAGATAAAAAGAATTCTTTCAAGATGAAAACCTTTTGTTTAGTTTAGCACAACTGTCATCATTTTAAAGTACAATATACATGATAAGTAATGATTATTTATGCACTCTACTGTACTTTCTTGTGATTTCTAGTTAAACATAGCCGTTATACAATGTGTTTCTATTTTAAAAGGTCACTGCCAAAAAAAATAATCACTATCATATAACACCTTACAATTGAAACAAGGTGTTTTTTTTCCTTTGAGTGGTAGATTAGTAATCACTGTGGTTGATCAGACAATGGAAAGCATATTCCCTTTCTGAGTCTTGAGAGTCAACACCATTCCACTTCCTTGCAATTTCAAGCTCAAGAGAGGAAAAGGCCTAAACCAAACGACATGTACATTTTCTTCCTTGGGACTCTAGATAACCAAAACCACTCGCCAGTATGTCTTTATAAGTGCAGTTGATTTCTTTGTCATTTAATTGCAGGTTTTGAGGTCTCTCTCCTAAACATCCTGGCTTAAGGAAGCCATACAAATACAGAAAAGAAAGTGACATGGTGAGGATTCATTTCAATTTATGGGGCAGGAAGATATTATCATCTGATGACATTCATTCAAAAGTATATTCATTTAAATTTCTTAACCAAACCACTGTTAGAAATTACTTTGGTACTGGCTTAAATAAGTGTTAAAATAAAGCTTTCTCTCTTGGAATTAGATTATGGGGTGAGACAAGGCAGACCATTTCTGCTGATGATATAAGCTATAATTATTTTGGGTAGATTCAATCACGTTTTGGGAATATTCAAGGTTTCCTTTTCCCCTATTCTTTTAAACTTATTATGAGATATTTGGTGGTGAGGTGAGATCCTTTAAGGCGAAATATCAGTTTTTGAAAGATAAAGGTGCAATTATCATTAGTACAAAAGCCAATTAAGAGAGGAATCTAAGACAAAAAAAGATTTTCTAGACATATTTTACTATGGATTTTTTTTATAGAGGCTATATAAGAAGGAAAAGACACTCCTATAACGTCTCTTAAGCTTACCCTTGAATTAGCTTACAAGAAAGGTTGAATAAAGGGCTAGGATAAATGGTGGCCCAAATAATTAGTAATGAGGTAATAGTCTAATGGCAAATCAAGAATTAACTTTTCCTCTGACACCTACTTTCCTCTATAAAATAAGGGCTCAGCATCCAAACCCCCAAAATCAACTGAAAGAGTTTTCACTCAACATATGGTCTTTAATGAACATTGTCATGAATCTTATTGAGATGGTACTTCAAAACAGTGGTGTCAAATTCAAATAGAAATGAATCCCTGCAGTCACATATTGACTTAGAAATCCATAAGTTTACATTACCTATTTTAATTTATCTTGTTAAACATTTCCCAATTACATTTCAGTCTGATTCTGGAAGTACTCCTAGCACGTGGTCCTTGAGTTTGACACCTCCACTTCAGATAATCTTCTCCAAAATGGGCTGCCCCCAAGCCCCTAATGTATGTGTGTATTTGAAACAATGCATGAATACACGAAAATGTATTTATTTTTTCCAAGCAGTTCTGTAATCTGTTTCTCTACTGCACCTAGATTCAGTTCAGTGGATTGCTCTAAATTTACTTACTGTTTTCATAGAAATTGACATGGTATGGAGTCACTATTCTGACAATGCTATAAATCCATGGGCAACAGGGTTGACAAAGTAAAAGAAGAATAAGATAGCACATTTCATTGTCACCCTAAGAAATACTTGAATGACTAGGCAAATTAGTAAGTAGGTTGGGAGCTTATAGAGGGTTGTGATAAAATGTAGATGGTTTCTCATTTGTTTCAGCAATTTCTGGTTATCTACTAAAGAACCAGTTTTCCTATTAAGCATCAGAAAAAAAAAACCATTGTTGTGTATTTGTAATATCAGTGCTATTATAAAACTTGTGGGAGGTCAATAATGAAATCAACCAAACAAAAACTTTGAGTAGGTACAGAGAGCATTTACTCCAAGTTCCAATTTAAGGGACACAATGGAACCTCCAGAGACTAAGCAATTACCTCTAGACTTAGACCTTATTCATGTCTAAGGCCTCAGGAATAAGGTTGTAGAACTTAATTACATTACATGGAACTATGTAGAATCAACTGGGCTCTGGCTTTGAAAGCCCATTTCAACTGTCAGGGGGCAGAGAAAGATCAGTGGAGTTACCTTTACATCCAACAACCCCTTAGTTATTTGGGAATCAATCACAGGAGAGAAATACAGGAGGTAAATGCTCCCATTTCCTTTCTCCTTTAGGCTGATTGACTCTGGGCATATCACTGAGGTTGTCAGGACTGGGGAAGCTGAGATGAGTACACCTAAATCCATAAAGTTCCCTACAACATGCAACCAAATCCCAAGTTACTCCAATATAGAGAAAATATAGGGCATTTAGGGTTACTTTGGAGGTGCCTTAAGCACTTAGGCCTGTTCTAGGACAGGCTCAGATGTCTGGTTTAGAATGGACACTAGCCTCAAGGTGGCACTGGGGCCAACCTGGAGGGTTCTCTGAACTAGGAAAAGGTCAAAAGGCAATATAATTCCTGGGACCAACTGCAGGTACAGAGTCACTTCATAAGGACTCCAAAATGTAGGTTCTTATTTTTAGGTCCAGCCTGAACCTATCCATACTAGGAGGTTCTCCTATAAGCAAAAAGGGAAAAATAAAAGGGCACAATTTGCCCAGTTTGTCTTGCTTACTTCTCTTCTCTTTAGGCACATATAATATTTTTACTATGAAAGGAGAAGGTGAAGGGAACAAGCATATATTAAGCACCTAGGGTGCCAGGCACTGTGCTAAGCATTTTATATATATCTCATTTGGTCCTTACAACAACCTTAGCGAGGTAGGTACTACTCTTAACCCCATTTTACAATTGAGGAAACAGGCAGACAGAAGTTAAGTGCCTTGTCTAGAGTCACATAGCTAGTAAAGTAAGAGTCTGAGGCTAGATTTGAACTTATGGTCTTCCTGACTCCAGGCCCAGCACTCTATTCACTAAGTTTCTATAAAGACATTGAGAGTGCTCAATAATGACCTAAGTTCATGTTTGAGGCCTCTGATACAATCCCTTTAGTGTTGTCTAGCTCCAGAGCTCAGAAGGCCTGAGAAGAAGCTGAAGATGACAGACACTAGGTTATAGGGGATGCTTCTAGTCAATCAAATTAACCCACAAACATTGACTGAGCACATGTTCTGTGCAAGGCACTTAGCTGAGCACTGGTGGATACAAAAAGATGTGAGGTTGTCCCTCCCGCTAGAGAACTTACAATCAGTCTAGGTGTGGCTTTGGTTCTTGGTAAGAAAAAAGCTATTACGTGATGTCTCCCATGATCTTACCCAAATTGATCATGTTCTTTTTCAGTTCAGATCAGTTCAGATCAGTTCTGGCCCTCAACCACACCATATAATCTTTTTTTTTTTAAACAATACTACTTACTACATCTGGTTAAAATAAAGATATATAAAAATTTAATGGTTTTTGTAACTGAATAAGAAGATTCTTCATATCTAGATACAGCTGAGCTGGAGATGTTTTGAAGTGAGATTATAAGACAACATGCAAAGAGCCCTTTACATGGTTGATCTCTGTCCAGCCTCATCCAGTTTGAGATTCCTTTTTCTTGTCGCTTCGCTGTCCACATCGGATTTGTCCACATTGCCAAAGTCGCCTGTCACGGAATAATCATTACCCTCTGGAGTACTTCCATTTGGCTGAAGAAATTTAGCATTTGGTTCTTTGGGACGCTGCCACTGAGGCCTAGTGACTATCCAAAAAACGATAGTACCAAACACCAGAACAAGAATGCCAAGGGTATTGACAAAAATACCTTCTGGTGGTAAATCTTTATATGCAGGATTTTTCCTTTAAAAATAAAGGGAGAGAAAGAATGATTAAAAAGGAAACCACAAAACAATGTATGAAATCGATTTTTTAATTTATTGCCAAAAATTAAATGCCTGAAGAATTTATAGAACCAGGGTACTGGAGAAGTCCATTTGTAGTGTCCCTGGGCAAAATCATCATTTAACCTCTATAGTCCTTCCTTTTGTCATCTTTAAAAAAAAGGGAACGCTCAGTGCATATTATATGCTTTCAGAAAGCAAATATTTAATACAGAAAGGATGAAGTGGAGAAATGATGAAATACTGCATATACTTACAAGGCAAAAATCAATTTCTCTGTCACTCCCATAAGGACTGTTGCAATCACCGTTCCAAAGATGAGCAGGCCAGAATAAACATGGATTGGCATAAGAATTGCTCGGAGAGCCAGAGGAGCAAAAGGAAGCAGAAATATGATAAAACCTAGGAGAAGCTAAACATAATAAACAAGGGCTGAGAGGTTAAAGTTTAATTTTTATTACTTATTTCTACAAAAGGCACATTTTATTATTTATTTCTACAAAAAGTACTATTTCTTGGAAATGGTAACTCAAAGTTAAGGGAAGATTTTTTTTTATCTCTAAAAAACAAATATTCTGGGAGCAGCTAGGTGGCTCAGTGGATAGAGCACCAGCCCTGGAGTCAGGAGGACCTGAGTTCAAATATGGCCTCAGATACATAACACTCACTAACTGTGACTCTGGGCAAGTCACTTAACCCCAACTGCCTAACCGAAAAAACAAACAAAAACAAAAACAAAAACAAAAACAAAAAATATTCCACAGTGGCATATTCACCCTGTGTAGCTTAGCCAAGAAAGGCTGCTTTAGTGGTGAGAAAAACGATGTCATCAGATGAGTAAGAGATGAGATCTATGGGAAAATTTCCTCTGTTCCTTTGGTAATTAAGTAAATGCTGTAAAAGGTAACGAAGGATTATTCTTTCAGCAAAGACAAAAAAATCTATCCTTTCTAGATCATGCCCTGTTCCTTTCATTCCAGTGTAAGCTTATGTATCAAATCTTCTCTTTATCATATATATCCATGATCATATCCCCACATAAGTGGGTCCATAAATGACTCTTAAAACTCTAAAATCTTCCAATTCCACTTCAGATTGCTACAAACTAGACTCAAGATTGACGACTAATTCAGTAAATATATAAACCCAGGTTACTATTCATTCATAGATGCTCAAGTACTGCATAAATCCACGAGAGTTCTTGAAAAGACAGCTCCATATCTATGGGCATCTGTTTGTGGACCAGAAATTTTTGATCCGGGGTGTAGTTCAGGTTGCTTGAAGAAGGGCAGAGGGATCTATATATTATTCTACCCCAAGCATCTTGGGGATTTCTTATTTCCTTCCACATTCAAACCCTGAATTCTTTTACTTTTTTTTCCAATTGTCTGTGTTTTGCCTTTGGAAGGGTTTCTGCCTGCTAAAGGACATGTCTCGCACACTGACATTATGTATACTTGCTCTGGATGAAAGAATACAGAAGTTGCTTCTAGCTGGATCTTTACTTTAGGTGTCATTGCTCCTATAAGTATTTAAGGGAACCCTATGGGATCTTGAAGTATTGAGTTTAAAGGAATATTTTCAGGTACCTTCCCAGTATGGAGTGGGCGAGCTCTGTAAGGGTGGCAGCCTGATGAAAAAAAGCTTTAATGTCCACTCCACATCTTTCCTGATTGAGGTCAAAGGATTAATGGGAGATGAGAGGTGGGGGGGGAAGAGGAAGGAGGAGAAAAACATAAAAACCTAATGCGCACTTAGAATGAGCCTAGGAAGAAATTGCAATGAGGAGAAAATAATTAAAAATACTATCAATAGGCTGGTTTGCATATTTATTTGGCACTTAATACTGCAAATGGAAGCCCTGTGTATTTGAAATTTAAAATGGTTCACAGGACTTCCCCCCAGTGATTCACATTTGTTCCTGGTTCTCCTTCAGTGAACTTACCTTCCTCTTTCAGAGATTATTTTAGAGTTGAAGGGCAAACTTTTTTATGTCTAGTTTTTGCTTTCTATTTCAAAAGATAGGGATCAGATTATTAACTCCAAGCATTTAACTCAAGTACATTTCTGAAGAACTAAGTCATAACTCTCCATTGGGCAAGTCACAGAAAAGGTGAGTGAGACAAAAGATGGGGAAGAGAAAGGCCAAGTAAGTAAAAGATGTGGGGGCCATGAAGTAAGGCAGACAAGAGAATAGCAGAATGTTGCCCACAAGGGATGAGTAAAAGGGAATGCAGACCAATAAAAAGTAACAAAAAGAGCAGGGAAGAGGGACACACTACCTGCAAACAGGAACTTAAAATAGTTTGAGAGGTTTACCATAAATGCCCAATCTACATTTCCCAATATTTCAACTCCCAGTTCTCCATATAGGCTCCATTCTTCCTTTCTTGTATTATGGTCTACTTTTGAAAAATGTGAGAATATTTCTTTCATCCTTTGTGGTATTATTGTGGTTTTCCTCACTGCCACCCCTACTTCCCTTTGTGATCAATTCTTTTGTGGTACTGGGGAAAGAGGGGAGGAGAAGACTACAGTAATTAGATGGCCTAAGGGACACAAATCTATCTTCAGTACCCCTAGGTAATTTCCTCACTTAAATTCTCCTGACCCTTCCTTATGTTAACTTTAAAGACAGGGTAAGAATCCTCATGGGAATGCTGAGACTTCTGATTCAGAGTCTTCCAAAATTCCTAAAAGGATACAAATACGACTGGGCAGTTCTTGAAGAATTCAATAAAATTTGTTAAGAATTAACTGAAAATATGATCAAACTCTCCCATAATCCAGAGGAAAACAAATCAGTATGGTATAGTGGTAGCTTGTGGTACAGGTCTACAAGCCAGGAGAAATCTGGATCTGAATCTGAACTCTAAAGCTTGGTAGCTTTCTGATTCTAGGCAAATCATTTACCATCTTGGCTTTTGCTTCCTCATCTCTAAGGTAAGGATAGTAACATTTCTACAATGACATCATAAGAATGGCCTAAGGTAAGTGTTTTGTAAAGGGCACTATATAAATGTGACTTTTAAAATTACCAGCATGTGCTTATTAAATTGGTAGTATGGTAAAACATACATATGTACATACATACATATGCACACACACCCAAACAATAAAATTCAATGTTGGTGGAGCTCAGGATAGGCACAATATTTTTGGAAAATAATTTGGTAAAATACAATAGTATTAATCGTACTTGACCTAGTAATCTCACTACTGGTGGCTTGTTTGAATGATGTTATTAAAAGGAAAAAATTGATCTGCAGCAGCTTTATTGTAAAAGTAAAAGACTGGAAATAACTTATATGTTCAAAGATAGTGGAATAGCTGAATAAATGTAGAGTTATTATTTAAAAGCAAATCAATGTAATGGAATTATTAATGGCAACCTTTCATGGTAGCTTTACAAAGCCCTACAAAACCAAAATAAAGAATACAAAAAACACTTACCAGGTGTTGCAGAGGGAAGAAACCAGAAATGGTAGCAACAACCAATCATTAAGCATTTATTAAAGTGCCTTCTATTTATCAGGCACTATGCTGGGCACTGGAATGCAGCCATCCCTGACCTCAAGATTACATTCTTATATAGAAAAATAATGTGTACATATATATGTATATGAGATAAATTGAAAGTAAACAGAAAATGGGGGGCAGGGTGCGGCACTAGCAGCTGGGAGGACAAGGAAAGACGTCATGCAGGAAGCAGCACTTGAGCTGAGCTTTGAAGGACACACTAATTACATCTATACAAAAATAACAAAATTTTATAAGTACTTAGAAGAAAAAAGTTAGCAAGGGATACAAACAAGTTATTGGTATAATTATATGTATACATATAAATAAATGTATATGCATGTATATATATAAATATTACAGTGGATAGAGAGCTGGCTTGGGATTCAGAATACATACTGATACATACTAGCTGTGTGACCTTGGGCAAGTCACAACTTCTCAGTGCTCTCAGGGGTAGGGAACCTGTGGCTAGTCAATATTAATAATCAATAAATATTTATTATGTGCAAGCTTTCACTTCTCTAAGTCTATAAATTGCCAAGAGTCAATCCATGTTGGTAAAGGAAGTTCCTCATCAGGAACTCCTCTCAACATCAATGGAATCACAGGTTTAGTCTCTATCCTCTTGTTTGATTTTCTTTTCTTTTTTTTAAGTACAAAGTAGTATCCCAAAGGGTTAGTGCTGATAATTGTTCTTTTCTCTTTTTACATTTTTAAGGTTTATTCCTCTTCATAAAACAAAGAACTAAGACAGAAAGATTTAAAGTTTTAAAGTAAAATTATAAATAGGATTGAGGATTGTTTCTTGCTATTTAGAGTATAAAGAATAAAAGCATTGTTTCCCCTCTCCCCTTTCCCAGAATCAGGGGATTAGGAAGGAAAGCAAACATTTAGATATTCAATTCTTCTTCCAGGTACCCAAACAATTCTAAGATCAGTGGACTCAGTGGAAATCTCCAGTTGTAATAACTTTTAACATTTAGCTAAATCTACCATCAGAACCTTGTTTATGGTATTTGGAGCTACTGGGGGGGAAGGTCCAATTTCTGTCATAAAACTCGGCTGTACTTATACACATATAACTTGTCCAGAAAGTGAGACAAAGGGAAAGAAGAAAAATGCTTATGCACACGTGTAAATGTTATGTTAACTATATATATAATACATATACTTCAGCTTATATATTTCTGCCATTTTCCTCTAAAACGTTAGGATTCTTTAGACATATATGTTAAACACAACACAAACACAAATATATATGTATATCTGTGTGTGTGTGTGTGTGTGTGTGTGTGTGTATAATTGTGTATTCTTAGGGCTTTCTATGGGTTGTGGAAAATCCAGCCTCAGACACATTACACTTACTAGCTATGTGACTCTGAACAAGTCACTTAACCCCAAGTGCCTCACCAGAAGTAAAAAAAAAAGAGTAACTGGTGGACCGTACTCATAGTCCCATAGTTATGGGTTTACATGGATCAAGTTTAATCTTAGGGGTATACCTCAAAAATCTCTCTTCAGTTTGTGGCCACAGAATATCTTAAATGGGCTGATTTTCCATAACCCATAGAAAGCCCTAAGAATACACAATTACACACACACACACACACACAGATATACATATATATTTGTGTTTGTGTTGTGTTTAACATATATGTTTAAAGAATCCTAAGCTCCCATGAAAGCACTTAGGCTAACAATACATAAAATATAGAGGGTAGGCTTGATTTTACTCAAAACAAAATGAAAAACTCAAAGGGCTGACACTCAAAATAATGAATATTCAAGACAATTCCCCTCTCTTCTCTGGTGAGTCCCAACTCCTTCACAAAGCTATACATTCCTCCAAAACACTCCTCCCATTTACCACGAAAAAGAATGAAACACTTG